GTCAGATTGCACTTTAACTCTAAAGTAAAAATAAATAAATAAAGTTAAACTTGTTTTGAACCATTGATTTGTCATCTGTAGTTTGATTTTGAGTAGGGGAGGGGAAAATCAATTAAAATCGAAAATCGGATTTATTATTAAAAAAATCGGAGATTTTATTTTTAGGCCATATCGCCCAGCTCTAAGTGCAGGTGTGAAGTTCACTGCTAGGGCAGTGCGTATCAGGCTTCTAGAAGCAGGAGTGATGTCCCTTAAGGCAAGGAAGAAGCCCTTCATTAATGAGAAACAGGGAAGACTCAAGCTGCAGTTTGCAAAAAAAAAATACATTATTCACAGATGCATGCCCTTAAATTCAGAAATGAGTGAAACAAAAAATTGTGCTGTGGTCTCTTAATTTTTTTCCATGGCTGAATATGTCTGTTCAGTTTGTTCAGTCTGTTAAATTTATTATTTTATTATCTGTTGAACATGATTAGTGGAATGACTCCCAGCATCCAAGGGCCTCATAGTAATTCTCTAACCTCGATGTCAGGAGGTCAAATAGTTGGGGAGGGTTGAAGACTTTGGTCCTCTACAAGATTTTATTGTTGAGGACACGCATTCCTGCCTCAACAAAGTTGTTGGCATTGTACCCCCTTGTAAGCAAACCACCTCTGTGAGGGCTCAACACTCCCTGTGGTTGTGCAGCCTTTTGAGGTACTTAAAGTACTTTTCATACCTTGCAATTCAGAACAAAGTACTCAAATCCACGAATCAGAAAATGTGCAAACAGTAGTACAAACACAATAGCATAGTAACAGTATTAAATTTTTAAAAGCCCAGGGCCAAGTATCTACAAACAATAGTAAAATAACAATGGCAACATATAAAAAAAAACATGTGGAAATAATCTGATGATGTAAACTTCTGTACAATGGCTACACACAAGACAACTAACAACTCTCCCGTGAACTGACCTGACTGCAGCTGGATTTGACTTTGCCTGCACATACAATCTCTCCATGTCAGATATATCTTTGCTGTAAAGCATAAGCTTGTCATCCTTCTCTATACCACTCTCCTTACTCCACAGCCATCTCCAAATTGCTTGAAGGAGATGGAAGGAGCAGAGAAGTTTGGCATTTGGAAAGGCCTGTTCCAGAGCTGCCCTCTCTGCATTACAATCATCTGAAAGAAACAGCTTAGGTCCCCCTTGTCCTCTGCCAGCAAAAGCATTCTCCCCTGCCACCTACTTCAGAAGCTCTCGGCCTTCAAAAATAGTGCTTTCATTTTCAACTCTGCTTCACATAGCACACTTTCTCCTTTACCAGGCAAGAACATATAGCTACCAGGAGACCACTCTAGAAAATGCTGCCATCCATGCACATTGGCCTTTGCACTTGATGCTATACCTCTCTACCTGACTCTCCAGTGCCGCCAACATTATAGGGTCATTCAGTGCTCCATACTCTTCCCTACACACTTTATGGAGCAATCTAAGTAATATAAAGTCCAGAAAATATGGGATAGCAGTAAATTGACAGCAGTGATGGGCGGTAGCGCCGCTACATGTAGCGAAGCTATTAGTTTAACTACATTTTCTAGTAGCTTGCCTGTGCATATATAACCGCAAACTAACTTTGCCGACGTCTTCAACGTACCTGGCAAAACAAACACCTGTTCACCACACGCCTTATAGGCGGAACTGCATGTCCGTTATAGCCGAACAGAACTACAGCTAAAAGCGGCCCTGGGGACCAAATTGTTTGTCCATTATAAGCGAAATTCCGTTATATGCAAGTCCGCTATATCCGATGCTTTTTCTGCATGTTCTTAAAGGTGCACAACACCTGTTCCATTATGGACGATATTCCGTTATAAGCGAATCCACTATAACGGGATTTTACTGTAATTATTTTGGAATTAATTGGAATGCTAAGACGTGATTTTATAGGCTTTATTATATTGATTATGTAGCAATCTCAGCTCTGTTCTCCATATTATGGAAGTATCACGCAGAGCATTACTTGAAAAGATGGTTTTTATTCTCTGCTTTCTCGTCTTGCTTTTACTCACAGCACTGACTACAGGGTTCCATTTTTTTATATACGTATATACAAGACTCATTCTCCCGCTAACTCAAACAAAATCATATCATTTTGGTACACCTTACAGATTAACAAAAAATTCAATCAGATAATGTAAAATATAATGTCAGATGAGGACATATAATTCAACAGATTACACTTGAGAGCCCTGCGTTCTTTGAGACAACGCTAGCCTAAACTAAGCGAGACAGCCTGGTCCGGACCAGGCTTGTTCGCAGGCCTAAATTACCATGATAATTCAGCGGGCATTCATTTAAGACACGTTGATGGAACGGAACTCTCACTTAAGTATAAGACTGACTTGTCGAAATAAGTCAGACTTTCCCTGAAGTCTGCTTCGTGGAATACCCCCCTGGGTTTTAACTAGTTAATAAATAAAAAACACTTAAAAGTAATGAAAATGAATCCAGCTTTATCAATTTGATGATGCATCAAGCTTAATTATTAAAAAGTTTAGATACAACACAGGGGTCCCAGCAAGTGCAGCCTGTGAAAGACTGTTTAGCGTAGGAAAGGATATTTTCAGACCAAAGAGAAACCGCCTTTCTGATGCCACTTTTGAAAAGCTTCTCTTGTGCCGTGTAAACAAACACTTGTTAGAACAATAACAAGTGCACTATTACCCCTCGCACACCCCACCCATGCACTATTACCCCTCGCACACCCCTCCCATGCACTATTACCCCTCGCACACCCCTCCCATGCACTATTACCCCTCGCACACCCCTCCCCTTCCATCTCATTCCCTCAGCACTAAAACATGTAATTCAGGACTTTGATTCTCATTTCAGTTTGGACCAGTTCATTTGCTATTGTCCCAGTGATCACTCTCTGAGCCATGTTTATTAATCATGGTGTTGCATGTCGTCTGTAAACACAGTTTAACACGGTTCTTAAACACAAAATTCATTTGTAACTTCAATCGACTTGTTTAATTGGGGTCTGAAGAAGTTTTCTTGTTAAGGGAGGCCCTGAGGAAATAATATGGCTGTTAATATGGTTTTTCTTTTCCCTAGAAATTTTAAATTGATTTAAACCTATAGCCATGTCTTGCCCATCCAACACTACACAGTAGCTTTCATTTGGTACTAATTAGTTTGTTTACTAGAGTACTGGTTTACCTAGTAGTAGGTCAATAACTTTTTTTTTTTTTATTCCCAAAAGTAAGCTTTTATTTATGTCTCGATGCTTCACATAATGCAATGTCTACACTGTGTTAAATCATGGGTTGTTCTTTAATAAATGTCTTAACCAGTGTATCTGACTCATTTTGCACTGATCTGGCATTAGGTTGGTACAACGTGAAGTAGCTTCTGATATAGTAAACTACTTTTGCCATATTTGTGTAACTTAGCTTGCTATATTTCTATGGGTGGTAGCTTTTGTGTAGTGAAGCTTAATTTATTGTTGAGAAACTGATAGCTTAGCTCACTACACTTTACAAGTAGCTTGCCCAACACTGATTGACAGTACATAAGGCCCACAAATGCATTTAATACTAAATATATTGTTGTTGCTGCCCTTACATGTAGACCTTTAATTTGACACTTTAGCATACTCTGTCAGACAGAAGCTGTTTCCACACATGAACTCTGGACATGGTGCGGAGAATCAAGTCAGCATTTTCCAGAGATGCCCTTTCAGATATGTGGCAAACAGCCATATTTCATCCAAATCAGACGTTTTTACACCTATTAGAAATACTCTGGTTGGTTTAGACAAGGAGTGGCACTGGGTAGAGCATGCAGGAGGCAGGACACAAAAATGCAAAAAGAACATTGTGAAAGTCACAGTGTTTGGCTTAAAGTCCATCAAAGATGGCGAACATGGCTATTAATATCATTTTTACATATGCTTGGACAGATCTGTAATACCAGCGAAAGAATGGAAAACAATATTATTCTTCACCCTCAGATGTGAGTATTCTTTCATTGTCAGGGCAGTCACATGATATAAACCTCATCAATCCGCTTGCTCGCTGTGAATTTCCTACTCCATTCACACATGGGGGATCAATTGGAAATTACCCAGACTTTGTACTAGGGAGCTAGCAGGGTAAAGTCCATTTAATGTCTGGTACAATTGTTTTGGACATTTGAGTTCACACACACAACCCCTCCAGGTAATGTCTAGTAAAGTTCAGGGTGGCATTTCATTGAGGTAATACACCACATGCTATTACTATTTTATTATTTTCTTACAAATTTAATGGTTATTTTAATAAAGTTATATGATATATTCCCTTCCTTTGAACAAATCAAAAGTCAGGGCAAATCTCCCTGTTTGCTGAGACATAAGCTCAGCACAAATTGGCTGTGTGGTATGTGCATTGCAGCTGTGGAATATGTTGGCTTTCACTTTGGGGCTCATCTTAACATGTTAGAGCAGCCATACTGCCTATGTGGGACACGTGTCACAGGCATGGCTCACGCCTCGCGGCAGCAGTGCATCATCCAGGCCATCCCAAAAACCTGCACCCACACCGGCCCTCCATGGAACAGGTTCCCCACCCCTGATCCAGAGAGTCAAAGTGGCGCCCATTTTTCACGCATATAGTAAGCAGTTCTCAGGAAAAACTGACGGTTAAAAATCTTCTGACAGTATACTGACATCACATTACGTAACTGACACTTTTCACTATAGTTTCACTGTCTAGGCTACATATAGACATGAAAAAATACATAAATATTACTATGTTGTCAGAGCAGAAAACCCACTGTAGGCTATAATTTTATGACACTGATAAGTCAACAGAACATTAGATGAAGGTTAATAGTTTTCAGGAGTCATCTCACTCTTGAATGAGAGTAAATAAATATCAAGTGACTGCTTGCTAGTTAAAACTGGTCAACTTTATGGTCTTCAATTTTCTAACTTTTCAAAATCAAACATTCCATTACTGATGGCCATTATCTTTGGTAAACTCAATGCAGAAAGACAGGGCTTGCAGCAGCAGCGTCACAGCAGCAACGTCGGCGGGGTGGACAAACGCGTGGATCCACTCTGCAGCAGTTCTCTGTCCTGGGTGAGTCCCAAGCTATTGCTGTATGTCTCACTATACTCAGTTTGAATGTTGTTCATATAAACAGCCAGAATACATGTGAGAGTATGAATTATATCAAAAAGGTGTGTTAACACCTGTATGGTCTTCTACCCCACATCTCTCTAACAGAAAGCATCTGCAACAAACAGATTGTGGTTGTGCCTGTTCTCAATCCTGGCTTCAAGTGACCCTATGAACATGTCACATATAAATATATCAAAATCAGATATATGTTTTCAGTCCAAACAATAAAATTTTTATAAACAGATCCACAAACTCACCTGGTACTTTTTCATCAGCACACCACTTCAGTCACATACATCTCTCTCTGTTTTAGGAGATATTCTGGTACTTGCAGATCTGACTTCTACCTTATTTTGGCAGTTGTAGGTTGTCTGAGAAAAATATAGTAAATATACTGCAGTAGGGTCGGACTCACAGAAGAGCACCTTAAGAAATTCTCACTGCAAAACATTTCTTACCTTGAATAAAACACGTTACCTGACCTAGAGGGGGGCAACATCTACCATCCATGTCACACCTGATGAATTCTTCTGCAGGATTACACACTGGCAAGCCTTCTCCATACTCCTGATGTCCACCTGCACAGTAGGAGTGTAACGGTACACGTATTCAAACCAATATTCAAAAGATTTGCGGTTCGGGTCTTTAGGTTCGGTACACGTATGTACCGAACAAATGCAGCAAATGTGGAACCTTTGTTTGTTTCTCCCGAGCAACATTTGGAAAGGGGTGGATGAAGCTGCACCACTACGAATGTGCACGTACGTCCTAATATGAAGCTGGTAGTTGTTAATATGAATACAAGTACAGCACATTTTAATGCAGCCCCATAATGGATATTTATTTTGTCATGCTTCATATTTTTTGAGACAATATTTGTGTTGCACAGTTCTAATATGAAGCTGAAAGCTACTAATGTGAATGTATGTTACGTTCGGGTAAGAAGGCGAGCAGGGAAGCAGGAGAGTACGCCAAACTTACGGGCAAATGGGGTTTTAATGAGCAAAGGACAGACAGGTAAGGACATCCACAGACCCTACAATGACGGATCTGGGGAAACTAACTGAGACACAGACTAAATACAAAAGACAAGCTAAGGGTAACGAGCAACAGGTGGGAACAATCAGGCAGAAACAGGAGGTAACGAGGTGGGCGTGGCACACATTAGGATCGGACGGAGCGGGGCGTGACAATGTAATACAGGTCAGCTACTGTTATTTTTCTAAATGTGGACCTTAATGGATATTTATTTTATTTTTATTTACTTGAGAGAATATTTGTTTTTGATTTACTTTTAAGTTAATTTTAGTTTTTTATTAGTAGGTTGCAGCAGTATTGACAGATACTTTTTTCAGTAAAGCACTGTTTTATAAAGAAAAAAATAAGCAATTTATGTTTTGCTTCTTTTACCCCTGTTGTACAGAAAACATACCAAACCATGATTTTTGTGCACGTTACACCCCTACTGCACAGTGATGTTAGAACTGGCCTGCTGACCTACAGAAGCCACCTCTTCAAAATGGCAGACAGGCTGTATAAAACCATGTAGCAGCTAAATCCGTAATATATTTGTATTTTTCAATCAGACAATCACTTACAAAGATTTTTTTCTCATTTAGACCGTTAGATAATGTCACCAGAATAGTTTCAAATAAGGTTGTTTTTCTAAACTGTATTGTCACGTACATCAGAGTATACCCAACTACAAAGCATATAAAAACAATTAACAACCATGTACAAATCCATCACAAGTATTTATCGTTAAACGTGATCAAATAAGGTGAATGTCATTCTACCTATTCATGCTGGCAGCAGCTGATGTCCTTGGTATACTGTAAAATGGACATGAGATGCAAGAATTAACGGTAGAGAATTTATTAAATATTGTTCCTAAAACATTTTTTTATTATTTCACTTGGACATACGCTGTATAACATGAGTACTAAAGTTTACCTCGGAAAAATGTAGCTGCGCTCATGGGTCATCTTTGAAAGGGAACTGAAATCTGCTCAGCTCAGCATCAGCAACGAAAGGATCAGTGAATTACCACAATCAACTAAAACTCAAAGCTGAAACACTGCAAAACGTCATCTCACTTTAGTTATGGCCTTCGTCTTCACCTTCAATTTCACGTTCCGCATCCCGGTAGAGCACTGTATTGCACTGTCTAGCAGTGTCCACTCCACGGTTTGAGTTTTGCGCGTGTGCACCCCAAAGGTATGTATTATGTGAGATGGGGTGGTACTTTGATGAAGCCATATTGGTGTGGGCTTTCCGCCCTCTGCTTCCTGGTTCACCATGGCCCTGAACCGAATATGGATGGATGGATGGATGGATGGATGAATGGATGGATGAGCTCTAATCAAATAACTTCACCAGGGTTTCATTGCAATCATGCTATCCGTGCTTTGGTGATACACTGTAATATTAACTGCACTTAAAATGTGTGGTTTGTGCACAGATGTTAACTTTAACAAATGATATAGTAAATGTTGACCAAATTATGTAGTGAAATAGCTTGGGACCTTGCTTTTCAAACAGTATAGGTTATGGGAAAAATCTGAGAAATGTCCTGTCAAACTTGATTTCTATAACCTAATGCACATAAAACCATGCAACTCAAAGTGCATTTTCATGAAAATGGTACAGTAAAAGTTAACCAGATTTTGCCTGGCACCTTTCAGAGGGTTTAAGATTTGTTTATGCATTACGTGAAAGAAATTCCTTGTAGTGAAATACATCCTGTACTTCGTACATATGCCTATAAATCACCCTTTTCCTATGTGTGATCACTTTGTCTCTTATTTTCCTAAACGTGATCTGATACCTGATCTGGTATGTTGTGCCTATGCATGCACTACACATTTTAAGCATGGACGATTTGACCGCAGTGACCATTACAGCATCTGAACGTGTCACAGTAACGAGACTAGTTTGACCCACTACACCGTGACCTGCTGTGTGCTGTGTATAAGATACAATCTCTCAATGTTTTATGCAGGAATAACAATTAGATATTTTTCACATGTTGGTTAATTACGCAGAAATTATATATCTTCTTTCATCATTATTGTTATTATGCATTCAGATTTACTCAAATCATTTATGCAACACATTTATGCTAAATGTCAGACTGGTAAGTATGTTTTGAGGCATAGCACACCTTATTAAACATTTAGTCAAATAGGTTAAAAAAACAAAACATCTTAGTTTTATATTTGTGTATTAGTATAATGTATTACTACACTAGTAAACATATTTAATAATACAAAAAAATATTTAAAGCACGCTCAAATACTTTGACCCAAACTGAGTGTAAGGATTCCCATTTCTTCATGTGGTTCAAGATATGACTGCAAACCAAATTATTTAATTAATGCGTTTATTATCATTCAACTGAACAGCTGTTGTTATCTGTCTATATCTTTTGCTGTTATTATGTTAATCTGTTAAATTTGAGTATTACTGTCACATTCCCTGAATCCTGTACTGGATATGCAGCTGGAAGAATGACTGATTTATCTGTTAGGGCAACAAGCACACATTTCAGGAATCCCCGAGTATATGGAGCTCAAAATCTGTGCATGTACCAAGTGAAACGTAAGGATCATCATTTTGTCCACATGGTGGCAGCAAATAACCATAAATGCCAGAAAACTCATCTTCGTACTCTATGAAATGGTATTGCAGCCTGAATTAGGTTAGATTTGATAAACTTTAGGGATCCCAGTTGGATAAATCCCATTACTATCAGAATCGGCATACACTCGCCTAAAGGATTATTAGGAACACCATACTAATATGGTGTTTGACCCCCTTTCGCCTTCAGAACTGCCTTAATTCTACATGGCATTGA